TATTGACAAAGTTTTGGGGGGTACCCACGAAGGACGTTGGAGTATACCCATTCCGCCAGCCTAGTGGTGGTGATCAAGAACAAGCTCAACCAGCTCTACGGCGCTGTGGAAACTGTGGAGGGACTAGACACAACGCGCGAACGTGCAAAAAAGATATAGAGGCATATTCTAAATCAGATACAAGCACAGCGTACGCAGGCTCTATGTTAAATAGCGATGAAATTGAAGAGTTGTAACGTGAGTTGGTACTGCCAAGCTTTTTTGGCCCGGGTGCTGGGTTGGCCCGGGTGCTGGGGGTTTACGTTATAGGTGTAGGGAATATATCCTAGTGTTCTTATTATCCTAGCACTCCTATATGCCTCGTAGCGGATTCACACCTATTCCGGATATCTATCTTCTTGCCTGCGTCGTTACATCTACCACTAAAGCTAAGTACGTTGCTCTCACAATTGCTGCTAAAGAAGCCACCTAGCTGACTTAACTGCTACACTAACTTTGCTACAATGCTAACAATACTCACCCTATGCTGCTGTACCGCGACAGCGAGCCTTCTATCAAGCTGCTAGAGTTAAAGGGTCACTATAAGCGTACTAAACACATCAACATCCACTATTACTGTTGCAGCAAACGTAGCCGCTGTATATCGATGGGAAACTGCGCTGAGTTGCTTGCTAGCTAGGAGGCGACCATATATACATGCCCTGAGACGTGGTAGTGCAAGATAGTCAACAGAGGTGACGGTCAAGGCCTGTCGGCCCGAATTGCACCGCAACAAAACTATACCTCAACACAGCTCCTCTAAGAGAATGTTTCACCACGTAGATGTTCGTCTTTTTGCCTGCAGTTTCTCTAATAACTTTCCTAATACTTTTCAAGACGCCGTCTTTGCTCAAGACATTCCCTTCTTGATCATATCCTGCAAAGCCCTCTGGCGAGGCCCAGAGAGACCAAAATCTAAGGTGGACATGACCACTATATAGCTCGTTTGCGCAGTTATTAGGCCTAGTCATCCAGTTCTAAGCGACAGTTTGAGGCCGTGCAAATAGTCAGCAAGCCTACCTCGTTCTCTCCAAGATCAAAGAGCCCTAATACGCGTACCACTTCCTGATTGCACCCTTTCAATAAGGGATTCGTATGATTATTGCATCGTAATAGAAGTCAGAGAATCCATAATTTGACGATGGCATCAATTTGTTTGTGATCCAGGTGAGAAATTCCGAAATCAAACATTCTTGCAAGGGCTCTTCAGCACTTCATGTCAGTCTGATTTGTACCCAGTCTAGGATCTGTTAGTTTAGTCTACAATACGTACCATTCTCGTGGAACCATTCACCAGAACCGGTTCCATCGTTCTAGGTCCCTCTAAATCCCATAGTTATCCTATCAACCTGATCTTCAACTTCCACTCCTGACCTTTCCTTTCGCGTCACGATGCATTCTATTGCATCGCCTTCCAATGCCTCTTTTTGCACTGCCTTTAAATTTACGGCCTTTCCGTCTACCTTCTCTACTCTTACTACCCCCCTTTCTTCATTGCCATTAACCTGCCTTCCTGCTGTCCCTGTTTCACCCCTAATATGACAGAAATACGCGTATGATTGAAACCATTTGGGTTAGCTTGAATTTGGTATAAACCAGGAGTGACTGTAGTATCTCTGGAAGTTGATGATGGGTCCAAGCGCAGTAACTTGGGTATGAAGTTCTTCCAGCAGTTTCGTTCTTGCTACTTCGTCATTGTTCACTCTCGATGATAGTTTCAATCCTGGGTTCCCTGAAGTGTAGGCAAACTCCGCTAAGCGAGCACAGAGTTTGATGATCTGGACATCTGGCTGAAGGGTCCTTTCAGCCATGGGATCTGTGTAACACGTCAGGAACGGTCGAAGAAAAGGTTAAGCGCGGGTTGCCACAAGCAAGGCGAGCTCAAGTGTGAAAATATAGGGAGTCACAAAGATGGATAACAAAGCATTTGGAGCAGTCCTGTGATTAACATACCTCCTTTCGATGACGCCGTAACTGGCCATCTGTTGTGGGTGGACGGCGAATAATGTTGGATCTAAGTGGTTGTAATAACTGAGCTGACCGTTCAACCATGCAGTGCTAAGGCTACCACCAAGACTCAGCTCCTCTGAGGCAAACGTAAGGATGATAGCGTGATCAATAAATGTGTTAATGTTTGCAGCGTGTACCTGTAGCGGTGGAACATTGCCACACACTGCATATGCGGTAAGAATTGATGGCGCGGCAAACTACTGTAAGCTTTTGTATACATCTTGCTTTTACTTTCAGAGGACACGATCACCGCGCGCGCTCTAATGCCCAACAACCGCGATTCTGGTGTTGGGATACTGCTGATGACGTCGCTTCAAGGTTGCGACATGGCTCACCACCAGCTACCTACGTACGTCGATCACACAAAATTGGCAAAAAACATACAATAGCGGGTATTCGCTGGTGGTCACCCACCCAACTACTAATCCGCCGGTACGTTGCTTAAATAGGGCTGAGCGAACGGGAAGCCTTGTCTTCAACGTCCTATGGTCGTATGTGAGAGGTTTGCTCATTATTAATAATAATAATCTTATAACCCAGGCAGTTTTAATTTCTAGAAGCAAAAAGTAAAGGACGCTGTTGACGAAGTGAAGGCTTCGTGCGCAGACAGCTGATGTTTGGTTACAAGAGCCAAATGATGGCAAAAACATACAACAGTGGGTATTCGCTAGTGGTCACCCACCTAACTACTAATCCACCGGTACGTTGCTTAAATAGGGCTGAGCGAACGGGAAGCCTTGTTTTCAACGTCCTATGGTCGTATGTGAAGGGATGAAATAAAATATGAATTTATATTCTTATTACCAAATGGTGCGCGTCTCACGCCTTCAGGGGCGGGAAGCACGTGCCCAAAAGTAGACCCTAATGCCAATAGTAACAGCCCCAGCAACTACTTTAATGACAGCGCCTGCAATTGCTCTAGCGACCAATTTGTGCGTATCGCCTGCAACACATCTACCAGGCGCGGACACTATCAGAGTCGGCGTTCAGGTCGTCGGAGGCGCAGTTAGGGCGAAGTACGCGCTCTAATCACTAGAATTAAATCCGTTAAGTGGTACCTTTACTGTGGCACTTTATTTGGGTCTAGAATTTTTCTGTGTCAGCATGTCGTACGTAGCTTATGGCAAGTATGAACGTACCCGCCCCCGATGACTGCTGTAAGCAGCTCCGGCACTCTGTACTCAGAAATAACGCCACTTAGCTCTTGCCATGGCTCAGGCGTTGAAGGTGTAGAAAATTGAAGATCTAATCTAGGCCCACGTTGGCTTCCAGAATTAGTGGCATCGTATTGTATAGGGTTTTTGCTAGTCTAATAACCGCCTGTAACGACAATCTTGGATCCTTGGTTTATAACATTGCATGTGGACCAAGCTCAGGGTTGAAATATTTCGGGGCCCGTTAGCAGTGCTCAAGGGTCTGAGGCGCATTTAGGGCACACTGAGATCTATCGAAACGCCGGTAAGGTCAGGATGTAGAAGTTGTGCAGCAGGAGTTCATATTTATGTACAAGTAGAAAATCCTGTTGACTACATTAGGCCAAAGAACACTATCTTTGATAGATAGAACATGTGACGTCTGCGTAGCAGTAGTCTCTATAGTCTCTTAGGAATTTCAGCTTCCCTATAGGTAGCAATGAAAGTATTCACCTTGTAAGTCTATATGCCTAGTAACGCCTGTGCGTCAGACGAATCACCGCAGAGGATATGTAGGGGCTGATTCTAGCCGAGTCGAATGGCCCATGGTCTCTGCTGGCCTCATGTCTGATCTGACAACGAGTATGGAAGCTCTGTATGGTCGGTCAGCACGGAGGTTGTTCAGGCTGAGACGCAGCCTTGAGCACATCATGCACCAACGATCCTGCCAATACCAAATGTCTCGGCATCAACAGGCGAGTGGCGGGGTTCAAAAAATAATGGCAAGCCGAGCGTCTTGTAAGGAACTTCTTTATCTCGAATCGAGTTAAAAAAGCCGTCATGCCGGTTGGCATGTAGAGCGAAATGGGCATGAGGCAGCCAGCCTTACTAAGGGGCAAAAGAGACACGCGAACAAAATTTGTCGGAACAGGCGGCGGAGGCACGTAAACGAGCAGGCGATCTGCCTACGCTTGTTTTCTCGACTCTAGAAGTCTGCTCTGATGCTTGAGTTGAGATGCTAGGAAGATCGCGGTCTTATGCAGTACATACGCTAACGTCGTTTCTCACGGTACGTGCAAGACGTACACCAGCCGTCTCTGTAGTTCGCTTCCGTTCTCTCTCAGTAAGTGGTGATCAATTCAGGTAATGTTCGATTGCGAGACGTATCTGGTGCTGTGGTGAACGAACGAACTTTTGTTTTGCTCCTGCCTCGATGACGTCCTCGCGTGATCTACCTACGGGTGACCCTCACCGCCGATCGGCGAGCTTGTCGAAGTTTGAGTTGTCCGCACTACTCATCCTCTTCAGTTTCGTGACGACCTCATGGTCACATGAAGTCGCAATGGCACAAGTGCAGCGCCCGCTAATTATTCAGTCACATATCATCAAAGCTTGTTGTCCTATAGCGCGCCGATCGCTCCTTCCCCGGCACAGGGTACAACGACTGCACACGAGAACAGTCACTGACCACGACATTTCGCACCTAGCAAGCCTACCTCTCTACCCGCTGACCCTCGCCGACCTTGTCAAGTGAGTGCGCTCGAAACAATCTGCTTCCTCGAAGCATCGAGCTGATCAACGTCGCGTGCACAGACACGGAAGACCTCCTCTTACAACGCAGCAACTGCTCACCTCCGCCAACTTCACGCTATCTATTCTACCTGCACGACTAGCGCATCGCATACAATCGCTACGAAACCTGCCCTTCATCGTCGTCTCGAATCCTCATGTATCGAAAATCCACGCCAACTACATACACAGCCTATCGACGCTGCTGCCATGGGCTGAACACGAGATCACGTCCCTCGAGGACGAGATCAAGTTCACAGAGGTCATGGCCGATCTAGTACAAACACACTCGAACACCATAAGCATACTAGCGAGAGGGTTTTTGGAAGCGAGAAAATACATCAGCCCACGAGATGTGACGTGCTTCCTGGATGAACACCTACGAGCGCGCATTGGCACGCGGCTCATTGCAGAGCAGCATCTGTCGCTGCACTTCTCGAGCCAGCCACATGCAGAGATCATGCATGAGTCTGATGAGACACCCGGCTTTATTGGCGTCATCGACACCAAACTCAAGCCTGCAGGGATTGTCGACCACTGCGCGAACATAGTCGGCGAGATCTGCGAGCTCAAATACGGCGTCCGGCCCAGTGTAGTCATCAACGGCGAGCCCGATTACACCTTTGCCCACGTGCCCGCGCACCTCGAATATATCATGACAGAGCTTCTCAAGAACGCCTTCCGTGCGACAGTCGAAAACGGCAATGAGCGCGAACCCATAGAAGTCACCATCGCGCCGAAAGACCTACACGGGGTCACAAGCAACGAGGAGGCGTTCAGCAAGTTCGACTCAAACCTTCGTAACACAAAGCAAGGAAACACAGACATCGCCTCCAGTAGCTTCACAGGCGCTCTGACCTCCTCTTCGCCGAAGTCCGACGCTCAGATCCTGCCCCTCAAGTACAGCACGCCGGGTGTCACTATCCGAATCCGTGACCGCGGCGGCGGTATCTCACCTGAGAATCTCGCACATATTTGGAATTACAGCTTCACAACCTTCAACGAAGACCAGGCATCGTCTTCACTAACAGGCGGCGGTTCGGGTAGCGGTATGGACGCACTGAACGCCATGACCGGCCCCGGTGGCGATGGAGTGAACAGTCTGGCAGGACTGGGCTACGGACTCCCTCTAGGTAGAGCATACGCAGAGTACTTCGGCGGCGGCATCGAAGTGAAGAGTCTGTGGGGCTGGGGCACAGACGTCTATCTCAAGCTGAGAGGCGTGGGCAGGGTGGATCGGGAGTGAGATTAGCAGCCGATAGGATGCGATACACGTGAGAGAAAGGGGTGTCATCAGAGATGTCATTGATAATTATATACCCTAGCTGCCTATGCAAGCGCTATGCCGATTCATCATATCTCGTGCTCGTTATTTCCATCTCTCGTTTCATCGTTGTGGCCGTTTACTGGGTAGTGACCTCAGAGTCCTTCTCGACGGTGATCTTGTCGTTCGACTCGAAGGTCGAGACGAGGTCATCTGGCAACTCGGCGCTAACAGGCATCAGTAAAGACTTGACAAATACGTTGAGACTGGGCGATGAGGCTGGGAAACGTACGTGAAGCCCTTAATCAGCTTGAACTCGTGGGTGATCTTGCCGCCCTTAGACTCAACATCCTTCTTCGCCTGCTCGAAATCCTCGGGAGAAGCCTCAGGCTTGAGAGTGACCTATCGACACATTACTGTCAGCACCCTTGAATCTCCAAAAACGCATCGTATATCACGTACGTTGTACTGGGTAGGCATCTTGGTCTGTGTATAGTGTCTTAAGCTCAAATAAGCTGCGTATGCTGTGTGACGAGTGAGGACGTAGTTGTTTACAAGTAGCACGCGTTAGATAAGAGTCGATGCGTGCTTTATATGCTAGCATCTCCCCGCGGCCTATCCGACGGGAGATCCTAGATCACTGCAAGAGCCTTGGTTATGCGCGCTGACGGCCAGACGCACGTCATCGTTGAGCACCTGAGCTGCCCCTCGGTGGGGTCGCGCGATCCGCCGCGGTCGCGCTTGCCGCCTATCGATAACGAAGAAGGCTTATTCCTGTCGAGGTCGTTAGCGCGCCGGCTAGTTTCCAAATTTTGGCGGACGGAAGAGAGAGCTTTGCCGCAGCGTCGAATTTCACGCGCCTATCTCACAGCACGGAGCTGTTGTGCACTGCTAACTTAGGAAGTGTCTCTCACCCAAGCCACATCCGGCAGTCGCAATTATGGCAGACCAAACGAACAGACCGCACAGGACGGGGAAAGAGAAGAAGGTGCATTCTGGAGGACCAAACCCCAAGGCTTTTGCATATGCAGCGCCAGGAAGACTGGCCAAGCAGGGCGCTCGCTCTCAAGATGTATGCTCGGCTTCAGACCACTCCAATCAGCTATCTGACAATATCAGGTAAAAGAGAAGCGCCTCCATGTCCCGCTCGTCGACCGCCTCCCCGAAGAAGCGCCCCCGATCATCGTCGCCGTCGTCGGTCCCTCAGGTGTCGGCAAAACCACACTCATCAAGAGTCTCATCAGACGCTATACCAAGCAGACTCTGTCCTCACCATCCGGGCCGCTCACTGTCGTCACTTCGAAGCGCCGCCGCCTTACATTCATAGAATGCCCATCCGACTCGCTCGCTAGCATGATCGACATTGCCAAGGTGGTAGATATCTGCCTGCTCATGATCGATGGAAACTATGGCTTCGAGATGGAGACCATGGAGTTCTTGAACGTGCTCTCCTCGTCTGGTATGCCCGGTAATGTCTTCGGTATTTTGACACATCTGGATTTGTTCAGGAAGCAGGAGACGCTGAAGCTGCAGAAGAAGCGCCTCAAGCACCGCTTTTGGAGCGAGCTGTACCAGGGCGCGAAGCTGTTCTACCTCTCAGGCGTGGTGAACGGGCGATACCCTGATAGGGAGATCATGAACTTGAGCAGGTTTCTGAGTGTGATGAAGAACCCTAGACCGCTGGTTTGGAGAAACTCGCATCCGTATTGCTTGGCAGACAGGTTCTTAGATATCACGCCTCCGACCGATATCGAGCAGAATTCCAAGTGTGATCGGACAATCGCGCTATACGGATATCTGCGAGGCACAAACTTCCCGGCTGCAGGGTCGAGGGTGCACATCCCTGGTGTTGGCGATCTGACTGTCACAACGACCGAAGCGCTGCCCGATCCATGTCCAACGCCGTATTTCGAGAAACAGGCGGAGAAGATTACAGGCAAGAAGAAGCGCACAAGATTGGGTGAGAAGCAGAAGATTTTGTACGCGCCCATGTCAGACGTTGGCGGTGTTCTGGTCGACAAGGACGCCGTCTACATTGACGTTAAGACAAACACTTTCAACCCAGACGAGGAGCCGGATCAGGAGCGTGGCCTTGGAGAACAAATGATGATCGGTCTTCAGGGCGGCAGGAAACTGCTTGGAGAAGACGACCGTGGCTTCAGGTTGTTCAGCGGTGGAGAGCTGGTCAACAACCAGAACATCGATGGCGACGAGGATGCTGGAAACACCGGACGACGATCGCAACGCAAAGCACGAGCTGCGGACGCTGATGATATCGACGATGCAGATCTTGACGGTATTGACAGCGACGACGATGAGCTCCAGCAGTATCATAGTGGCGACGAAGATGAAGAGGACGACACTGGGTTCCTGGACACAAATCGCTCGTCATTGAGGAAGCCGAAGCTGGCGCGAAAGGAAGAGAAGGATGATGCGGCAGAGGAAGTAGCCTTCGCCGACAGTGATTCTGACCTCGGTTCGATATCAGGAGAGGAGCCAAACTCGAGCGATTTCGAGAGTGGCGACTTCGACTCTGAAGTGGACGAGGACGACGATGATGGCGCGCTCAACTGGAAAGCCAATCTCCATGAAAACGCAGCTAAGATGCACGGACGGAAACGACCGTACCGCATCGCCGAGCTTGGAAAACTGATATACAATCTCGAAATTTCGCCAGAAGATGTGATTAAGAAATGGAAGGGAGACGAGGAAGAAGAGAACATTGAGGTGGATGAGGATGACGACGGTTTCTTCAAGAAATCAAAGGCCCAGGATGCGAACAACGAAGATCGTTACATTGCGCGCTTCAATTATGAAGAGCTGGCGAAGAAATGGGAAGATGAAGAGAATATTGCAGCCTTGAAGACACGATTTGCTGGCGGTCACATGGCTGGAAAGGCCGGTGACGGCGGTGACGATGATTTCGAGGGCTTCGATGGTGAAGGCGATGACGATGAAGGCGATGGCGAATTCGAGGATCTCGAGACCGGCGAGAAGTTCGGCGGAGACGAGCCCAACACCGAAGCTGAAGCCGAGGTCGACGACATTGAGGCAGAGCGCGAGAAGAACGCGAAACGGAAGGAGGAGCTCAAGCTAAGGTTCGAGGAAGAAGACCGAGAAGGTTTCATGAACGATAAAGCAGACGCCCGGAAAGAAGGCGGACAAGAGGAAGAATTCGGCGAAGACGATTGGTATGATGCACAGAAGGCCTTGCTCAAGAAGCAGCTCGACATCAACCGCGCCGAGTTCGATCAGCTGGACGAAGCTTCTCGTCAACGCGTTGAGGGTCACAAGGCTGGCACATACGCCCGTATCGTGCTTGAGAATGTGCCCTGTGAGTTCTCTGTTAACTTCAGCCCGCGTTTCCCCGTGCTGATCGGCGGTCTGACACCGACTGAAGAGCGTTTTGGCTTTGTTCAGATCCGAATCAAGCGTCACCGCTGGCACAAGAAGATCTTGAAGACCAACGATCCTGTTATCTTCTCGGTCGGTTGGAGACGCTTCCAGACCACTCCCATTTACTCCATCTCCGATTCGCGAACAAGAAACCGCATGCTCAAATACACACCAGAGCATATGCACTGCTTTGGTACCTTTTACGGACCGCTTGTTGCGCCAAACACAGGTTTCTGCTGTGTTCAGTCACTCTCGAACAAGACCCCCGGGTTCCGGATATCAGCCACTGGTGTCGTGCTGAACGTAGACGAGTCTACAGAGATCGTCAAGAAGCTCAAGTTGACAGGTCACCCCTACAAGATCTTCAAGAACACAGCCTTTATCAAGGACATGTTCAAGACCTCGCTCGAAATCGCCAAATTCGAAGGTGCATCCATCCGCACCGTGTCTGGCGTTCGCGGGCAGATCAAACGCGCCCTGTCCAAGCCCGAAGGCAACTTCCGTGCGACTTTCGAAGACAAGATCCTCATGTCCGACATCGTCTTCCTGCGAGCCTGGTACCCTATCAAGCCGCGTCGCTTCTATGCCGCCGTCACCAATCTGCTTGTCCCACCCACAGCTGAAGATAAGGAGGCTGGAGAAAGCACAAGCTGGCAAGGAATGCGCCTCACCGGCGCCGTCCGCGCCGAACTCAACCTACCCACTCCCTCTATCAAGAACTCCGCGTACCGCCCCGTGGAGCGCGAGGAGCGAAAATTCAACCCTCTCCGCGTACCTCGCAAGCTTGCCGCCGAACTGCCCTTCAAGTCACAGATCGCACATATGAAGCCGCAGAGGAAAGAGACGTATCTGCAGAAACGCGCTGTTGTTTTGGGTGGTGAGGAGAAGAAGGCTAGGAGGTTGATGAACCAGGTCATGGCGATTAGAAATGAGAAGGTGGAGAAGCGCAGAGCGAAGCAGGAGGAGAGGAAGCAGCCGTATAAGAAGAAGATTGAGGAGAATAAGGAGATGAAGGAGGCAAGAGAGAAGAGAGAGAAGCAGGAGTATTGGCAGCGTGAGGGCAAGAAGAGACATCATCAGGGTGATGGGGAGAGTGGTAGGGGTGGTGCTGGTGGGAAGAGGAGGAAGTAGATGTCTGTTCGAGAGAGTGGAGAGCGTGAGACTGCATTGCGTTGCATTGTTGTGGCGTTAATATGTGAGTTGCGGTCTCGAGAAGTCAAAGAATATCATACAGTCAATCAGTTCCTGCTTCCTATCAATGGACTGTTGACAAGTGTCTATGCTCGCAGTCTAAAATTTGGAATGCGCCTTCCTTACTGCTCAGCGTCGGCTCGATCGCCACTCACTTGACCTTCTTACTTCTTGCACACTGTATTCGCTCTGCGACATCACGCCCAGCTTCAATATGTGAAATGCCAGGACATCATCTACTAATTCATGCTTGTACCTCTCGTTCTCCCATCCAATGACCGCCGATGGTGACGCAGCTATGCATATGGTCGTACTTACCGAATGTGGGGCTGGCATGCTTACCCTTCAACAATCCTCAGCCTGACGATACGTGTGCAACAAACATGCCACATTGCTGAGAACCTTCATCGATCGTTTGGCGCAGGTCTACGGCTTCCTTGGTGGACTGCACTCTCGCCTCAGTATGCCATATCCAGGTCATCCCCTCGGCGACAGCAGCAGCTTCCGGGTTCTACATCTTTAGCCTGGTCAGCCTGATGATGCCATTCGATTCAAGCTTGAAATTTTTGCACGATCAGCAGAACTACCTAGGGTCAAATACGAGGTACTTTCATATGCCTGGGGCGATGCTGCGCTGCAGAGGGATATATTTCACGAGAACGACACTTGTAGTACGCTGACGGCACTGAAAGTGACAATAAGCTACTACAGTGCATTCAAGAATCTTCGTTACGTTGACCGCCAACGTACGCTATGGATTGATGCAGTTTGTGTTGACCAAACCAACTTGGAGGAAAGGAATTCTCAGGTTGGAATCATGGGCGCCATCTTCGCTGGTGCTGCAAAGGTGGTTGTGTATCTCAGAGAAAGGGTCGACGATAGCAATGGTGCGACGGAATGGATGGAGAACACTTACAGCGTCGACATCGCGATACCCGAGCATTCTTGGGCCGTCCGGCGGGCTTTTGCGGAACGCCTCTAGTTTTTCCGTACCTGAATTCTGCAAGAGGTCGCTAATGCACGGAGTGTAAAATCAAGTGTGGCACTCACACACTGCCCTGGGAAGCATATCTTCTAAGCTGCAGAACACGATCTGTACGCAAATCTCGTATCCCCGAGCTGCTCCGGCTTATGCAAAGATTTCGGGAGTCGAAAAATATGACTCCCGTTTCAATGCTCTTTGCGGCTTTGAAGATGACACGCGGGATCCTGTCCAGCGATCGTAGGGACAAGATCTGCGGTATCCTTCCACTGATCCCGTAGGAAGTTATATCCCCTCCCTTGAGGCCTGATTACAGTATCTCGGCAAGCGAGCTCTATACTCGAGTAGCCAATTATATTTACGCGGAGCTTGAACCACAAATACTGTAGGAGGTATACGGGAGCGGTCCAACGGAGGTACCTTCTTGGATACCGGAATGGACCTCTACAAATCGGGCTTCTTACTAAGGCGACCCGTGGACTTAAGTCACCGGGACGTGTGTTCCATCCTTAAGGTAGATAGAAACAAGACTATTTTCCGCTAGTTTCCTCTTCTACGGGGGTCACAGGGCTTATTCATAATCAGGTGGTCCAAGCGAATCTGCTTTTGATATATCATTGCGGCCATACTATATCATTTCACACGAGATACTTCCCACATGTGTTAGTGGCTTTTACATCCAGACTTCGCAATGATATTTGGAGTGTCACGAGGCTTGTCAGGGTCGAGACTGTCAGGACATGTCGCTTAAGTTCCACAAGGAGAAGGTGGAATTTAGGACAAAGATGGCTTGACATATTCTGACATTTGCGAAATTTGAATTTGAGGGCAACCCTTTTGCGAACCTTGATCCTACCCAAGACGAGAACGGCAAGGTAGCTCCATAAAATCGTGGCTTTAGGCGTAGGGGTGAGTTACTCTACCAGCTTCTCAATGCGACTCTAATTGACACTGCATCATAGTCTACATCCAGTACGCGACTAACCCGGAGAATCACGATGGTAAGATTTCGACAGAGATGATCGGCGAGGTAGACGATTCCAAGACCACCATGACCCACAAACTGTTTACCGCTGTGGAGGAAGATGATTAGCTTTTTCTCGTCGCGGCACCTAGCTTTATCCTTTGTTGGCTGCAGAAAATCAAATCGTCTTCACTTCAGGTTTCAGCCGTAGGCCTCGCAAGTCTTCGCGTCCTTGATCACTGATTTATCTCTGTCGCAAAGTACTTCAACTTTCCTTCACTTTTCGAACCACCGCCAATATGTTCGATCGACTTTATCAATAATTCTGCGCGGCTTGCTGAACCTTCCGAGAGGCTTGTAATCAAGGTCATTAGGGCCGAATCTCTTAGGACCACCGCTAGTGGTCGATGTCCACTTCTCAGAAGCAATGTTCTCGAGTACGATGACGGACAGTCCGGAGTGGTACTCTTGTGTTCCAAGCGCCTTACTGTTCTGCGCATCGAAGACGCAGACGAGATCTGGCACAATGGCAAGGATATTTTTGACTGTTAGCTGGATCAGGAATCTGCTAGTAAAGCAGCGCAATGTACCTCTCCCTTCCCGTTGGTATCTTCCATGCTCTTGAAGGAATGAATCAAAAAACCTTTCTATTTCGCCAGTCTCGGCTACCGACTCACTATGATACTGATGATAGTTTAAAGAAGTAAGTACAGTCTTGTACTAGAATCAAAAATTTCCCAGTACATCGCGATGGAGCATCTCATTTTTGATGATGACCGGTCTGTACGAGGCCATTGGACGAAAGGCCGTAGGCATGGCTAACAAGAGTGAGTTATCTCGCTACACCAACATCAGATGTGCTTTTGTGTTGAATACGTGCTCTGTACAGTGGCCGGTTGGCATGTTTGCATCCTTAGGCGTTCCTGTCACGACAGCGACGTCCTACAGCCGCGTGTCAGATCATCTGCGGTCAGATCTCTTAGAATCCGCCAGACCCTATGATGATAGGTCAGCTCGACCGCCCATAGGCATAATACGGGCGCAGCACGCAGATGGAAATGGCTCGTGCGCTGCGCGAGCAGGTGTGCTCTTCTTGGCTCTTGCCTCTGCATTCGCCATTCTGTTTCAGCATACCTGTGGCAGTGTTGTCCATATCAGACTTTCTGCCCAATATTGACAAAAATTTGACTTGGGTACTGGGACACTATGTTTGCAATGGTCACGCGGCACCGCCATAGAATTAGGTAGCGCCGTGTGAAACCAAATCAAGCATGTCGAAGCGCTTGTAGTTCAGAAAAAAAAATGACTCACTTAGAGCTCTTAATATGGAGCCAGGAACACAAATACGCAAATGTTACTGTGTACTCTCGACGGAAACCAGTATGATCCCAAGCCTAGACGTGCTGTGGCTAGCTGGATTTAATGGATCTTCATACAACATAGCGGGTGACATGGAGGAGCACGTGAGTCTCGCGAACCTAACAGAAACTGAGCTCATCGGCATTTTTCCTGAATAATAGCGCAGGCTCTTCAGATGTGCTTGCAAATGATGTCGAGTGTCCCTCGCTTTGGCGGGCGCTAGGTACCCAACGCTAGGACCTTGCTCCACAAGGCTCACTTCGAGAGGCGTGTCTGACACCTGCGGGCGCGGAACAGAGAACACGAGGCACATGTGCCAATCAGACGTTCTGAAGAAGGTTCCGCCTTTCATTCACCTGAGGTGCAGCACTGAGGCATTAAAACAATCGGCTCAGCAGCATAATTAGCACACCCACCTTTCTCCTCTTCTATATAGGAGTGGACTTCATGTGCACTCTCGCAAAGCAATCAAGAAACACATCGACACGCACTTCTCACCCATTAATCAACCCTGATCTCGTATCGCACGTTTGCGGTTCAATAAACACAAAGCTGGCTAATATCACTCCCAACGATCTGGCAGCCAAGCGCGGGCTGTTCTCACGCGAGAGTCCAAACCTGACCCACCCTCCTTGAGACGCATGGTGAGAGCGATGAAGATGTTGCCAGAGTGTGACTGACTAATTATAGTAACCCGAATGTCCATTCTTGCCAATCCTCACCCAGTTCGACATGCCTAACCCAGTGATTCGGTGGCTTTGCAGCCCAGGCGCCCGCACCGAGCTCCAGTTCTCCGTACCCACGCATGTCGCACACAATGAGAAAGTCACTCCGTTCTTGTCCGAGAATCAGGATACGTCTACCGAGACCCCAGAGACTTACGTTTCTCTGGTCAAGTCAAGGCGTCTCGATCGTTGGCTGGATCGCGTCGTGGTGATCTCCGGCTCCGAGTTCACCTATGTCGCCATCCTCATCGGTTTGCTTGTTTGGGCTTTTCTCGGCATCCCCTTTGGCACAACCGACTCGTACAAGATCGTGATATCGGATGCGCAGGCAATCATCAACCTGGTCTTCGACGCCTTCTTGATGCGCCAGCAATTCAACCAACACGACAATCTGCTTATGGTCGCTGGCTCCTTGCGCTCTCGGGCCAGTAGCCATAAACGTATGCTCGGATATCTTGTTGAAAAGGGACAATTGACTCGAGTTGATGCTGCGCAATTCCAAGCCCTTCCATCGAACGAGAAGGCGGACCAACTCCCACGAGAGGACCGATTGACAAGACTATCCAGCGCTGCATCCTCTTCCCTCGGTCACATCGGTACGGCCGTAGGCTTCTGGTGTTGCATCTTCATCTGGCTGGGCTTCGGGCACTATTGCGGATGGTCGAGCACCTGGCAGCTTTACATCAATTCGGCGACCTCCGCGCTCATGGTCCTTCTCTTAGCGTTCCTTGCGAACACTCACGAACGACACAGTCGCTACACTGCAGAATGTCTAAAGTCAATCTGGAAAGCTGACGCAGCTCTTGAGCTCCATCTTCGAGAATTGTCCGGCGACCGGGTCGAGAACCCGATGATCGTCCTACCCGAGCGAAAGCGAAGCGGCGTTCAGCGCGCGATTGATTACTATGCCGACTTGGTTGGGACACTCGCCGGTGTTGTAATCCTGGTACTCGTCATCATCATCTGGATCATTTGCGGTCCTGCGCTGCACTTCGATTCAAGCTGGTGGCTCCTGATGGGCACATATGCTGGACTGGTTGGTCTGAACGACGGCTTTGTGCTACGAAATATCTTCCAGGTTCTGGGAGACTATGAAGACGAGCAGTTCATTGAGGTCAATAGGGAGGATCACAACACCCTGGCGGTCGTCGGAGTTGAGTCACTAGATGAGGAACAAGTCACTACACAGTCGCTTTCATACCGTATCTCCGTCCGAGTTGGCTACTTCTGCTCCTATCAGTGGATGGTCGTAAGCGGAGTGGTCCTGATCCTTGGGCTTATCGTTGGTGCTTCGGCCATGCGATGGACAGAGACTGGTCAACTTCTTTGCAACATCCCGCCCAGTGTCATCGAGTCTTTCTTCACGTTGATTCTCATCACTGGTCACAATATCGGCGAAGCGAAGAGGCGCGTTGATCTTCACAATATAAATCTTCGCAGGCTCAAGATGATCTCCTATGTTGAGCAGCAGAGCTCCAACAAAGGAGTTTTTGAGGTAGTAGAGCCTACGGCAAAGACGGAAGTCGACAGAGATGTAAGCATCATGTCTTAGAGTGGGTAGAGGAAGCGCGAAGGACTAGGTCTATCCCTGGTACGTGTCAAACATATGAGCTGGAAGATGAGGCTGATCCGGTGGTTGACGAGGAGTGTTGTTGAGTAAAGGTGGAAGATGATGCGGAAGGTATTCGGGGAAACTGCAGAGTTTTCTGTTATGGGTTGCCAAGTAAACTTTTTCGCGTTCTATATTACATATTGTTGCGGTATCAAGGGCAAATGTATATGACAACTGTGTTGTATTGTTCTCTGTTGTTGTTCTGCTTGTATCTTTGCTCTCCAAGGCTCGCTGCGTGGTCTGTTTTGATGACGTGTTTGTGATGCAGCTGAGGTAAGAGGTGCTCAACAACATGAGGAAGCAGCACTAGACCACCGCCAACAACATGTGATCTGCTTCTCCTCTCAACTGTTACACATATCCATATTAGCTCAAAACCACTTCATAGTGATCGCTTCTTTCAACACGACAATGGTAGAAACCGGCTCAAGCTACTGTTAGAGTGCCCAATCCGATATTATAGAAGCAATATCTGCTTTCTCGAGGACTGACTAATTCTATCCCATGTGCCCGCGATCGTGCGTTTCCGCTTCTTACTAGGTTCTCCTATCTCGTCCGATCATTATACGCGTTTCTCCTCATCGCATATTCGCAGGCGCTTGAAGAACGACAGCCCGTCCTCTTCACCCTCGTCCTCATCGTTGACCACAGCTAGACATATGGCCAAGTCCGCGGTTTTGACCACAGAGTCGATTGTCTGCTCGTCTAGAATCGAATTTCGAAGTGAGTAGTTGGCATTTAGCACGTACCTGTACTCGTGGCACTCACGCAATTTGCGGAGTTGGGTGAAGGACAATGGCATGGCTCAGATTGCTGAGCAGCAAAGCTAGGGAATATTGAGGAGCGGAAGCTGTACGTTTGTTTTAGTTCAGAGGAAATACAGTCGTTGTAATTCAGGGTCAGAAGAAGGTAAACCTGTTATAGTACGATATAAGTAGTGTTGATGAACAGTGTCACCTGCTGGTAGCGGACAGTGAATATTCTAATGCGCAACTCACTACAGCTTAGACTGATTCTGGCTGGTTTTTATCCAACATGTCATGCTCAAAGTCTTTTAGGTTTCCTGTTGTCATGTATGGTCTGAAAATGATTACACTATGTAAGCCGTGCAATCTAGTGAATACTCAGGCCTCTGCTGGTGGTTTGGGATACGATCTGAACTGAAGGATTTAAGAACAGTGTTACTCACAATGAGTGTTCGGTGTATATATCTATCCTCACAAAACCTCTTAACGTAGGGTCAATTCGTTTACGAAGTCTACTTTCTACCCGAAGGTATTGTGTCCTGGAGCTGGGTTAGCGCTTGCAATACGCCAAACAAAACGCCATTCGAAACCAGCGCAAGCTCCACAACCCACCAGTATCACCGTCTCTTCCTCCGTTTTCTCCTCCTCCCTTTGTTCTACCAACCTCGCTAATTTTTTCTTCTGTCTTGACGACTGAGATTCTGACTTCGAACCAGACACTCCAGCTGTCAATACTGAGCAGCGGAACGATATCGAAACATCTCTTAGGCCCCGGGCGATGCTGGTTCTTGACTGCGAGCTCAAACTCAAAGTGCACAAGATCTGCAACAAATAGTACACCGATAATCAAGCAATCTACCGCAATCGACACATGTCAAGAGCAACGCAGCATCTACTGGAGCTCGGTGTGCATCCCTTCACTTCCGAAAAAGACGGGACAGATTAGTTCGCCTCGCGCGATTACCTTCTTCGCTAAGAGCGCCGTTAAATCTGGAAGAATAAACGAGAGAAGATGCGCACCGCCAGGGTCGACGAGTTCAGCGATGTCAACACTGCTTGGAAGTATACAAATCTCCTCTTGGATCAGACAGTCAGCCCTCTGCAGTCTGTAACAGCTCGGGCTCAGGGGAAGCTGTCCGCGAGGCAGAGCCAGAGAAGTTCCAGCACGAACAGCTGCAGCCGTAGAACGCGCAGCATATTCTGAACGAAGCCCATAATTTCGAGCGACGTGTATCTGCTACGCCGAAGCGACCCACTGGGGGTTTATATCATCAGCCGTATCTCGTGGGTCGTCATGGAAACCTCAAAGCTAGATGTGGCTGCGGTCTTCACTATGGGACTCCCAAAGCCGTGGGCTACGAAGAAGATACGTTTCGATGACGTCTATAAGGCGGCGAAGCTGCGCTGGGTGGATGTTGAGCGTATTGAGGAGCTGGCACTGCCTATAACAATCGAACGTAGCAATGCTTCCTGAGTTGAGCACCAGTCCATCTTGAGCCAAAGTGGAGTGAAGAAGAGAGTGGCATTTTTAACTGAGGGCTGGAGGCAGTCGGCGTGAACTTTGATGCAACCAGATGCAGAACCATCACTAGTGAGTACTATCATATACTGTTTAATCCTTGCCGCCCGCGGACTGATGGCACAGCTTAGGTTACAGCCAGCAGCTAGTCTTTTAGTGAGCTGTGAGTATGTAAACAGCGTTAGCATCGACAAGAAAGTCGCGCACCTGCCCTTCAAGAAGGCGAGACCCAAGCCACATGACTCGATCGCACAATAGTTTACGGCGAAGTGTGCAAGAGCGTGAAACGCGATGGAAGTATAAGCCTTTCATTAGACAATAGATCTCACAGCTGTGCACAGCTGCCACTCATGCGTTCTACGCTTAGATGCGTCGTGCCCAGGCTTCATGGCCCATTACATTCCCCCAAGCAGTGTGCGCCGTTAATGAATATGCAGAACGCCAACATGCAATACCTCAAATCCAACATCGCCTGAAGGCTTCCAGATGCCGATAAGAAAATTCTATGGCTGTGAAAATGCTGACGGGATTTAACGCCTTTGAACGACAATATCCAAACAGTGCGCAGTGATGCGCGGGGTAATCGCAGTAGCAACAATGCGTGAAAGAAGAAATGCAAGAAAATACTGTGCGCCATTATGGTCGTTTCTTTGTGTCGGGGTTCAGCTGCTGTGTCCCTGCCTTGAACATGCCGAATGCTTTCTTGGCAGTAATGTCTTGCATATCGAAGTGTATAGCAACCAGCCAAGCACAGAGTATGTTGGCGAGATGGTGAAGCACATAAGCGTAGGTGACACCGTAGACGGCAGCGTATGCGGCGATTGAGAACAGGAAGATGTTAGTGAGGAAGGAGTAGCGTGACTGCACGCGGGGGACCATGCGACCAGTACTGAGGGTTTCGACCAGGAAGATGAACGGCATAATCGAGAGGATGTTGTGATGTGATGAGAATGGCGTCCACCAATGGACGGCGAGGTTTCTTACCCAGACCACAAGGACCGGAAGATTAATCGGCAAGATCCAAATCATCAAGATGAGGATAGAGTGCGCGTAGTTGTAGAAGTTGTAGTTCATATCGAGACAAGTCTCCTTCGCCAGTCTGAATCCCCGAATGCAAGTGGCAAGCTGAACCAAGCAGAGCACCATGTAGGCGAAATGGTAGGGTATGACCGTCGATACAAGCGTGAGTAAGACCACTGTCGTAATAGTACGCTGTTGAGTCGAGGTGACAGCAAACGCTCCTGGGGTTATTTGTCCTTCCTCATTTCGAAGAGCTGATGAGTTGACTAGGACGTACACTGTGGCCAGAATGTACGTGAGAAGGAGCGCGACGTAGTTCAGAGCAACGCAGATGCCAATGCACATGAGACCGAAGAGAGGCACCAAGAACCAGAAGAAAGCGTCGTCCGTTCCGAGAAGGAGCTCGTGACTCGCGTCATCCAACAGTGCGGTGGTGTTGCTAGCTACAGCGTGCAGCGGCCAGTGCCTGAAGCTCTCGTTACGTGCGCCAGCCAAAGCGATCGACAGGAAGGTCAGAGCGGCCATGGCGAGTGGCAGGGACGTGCGAAGGCATTCGTTAAAGCCATTGGAAAAGCTCATGAAGACGCCTGTCTCGTCATAGACCCTGAATTGTTGACGGATGACCAATGCAACAATCAACAGAGGAAACGCAGCAAACACAATTCGGTAGCGCATCCAGAGCTTACCCATGCTTCCGAGGATGTCAACTCTCAGATTCACCTCCACAGTGCTGTCGCAGGTTGAGTCAGACCAGATCTGCAGCGACAATCCGCTCGTTGTCTGTTTAGGAAACAGAGTGGGTGGCATGTATGGTGAGACACCATGCAGGTTAAGGTTTGCGTCTTTGACGTTGACGAAGAACTTGCTTTCCTGAACATCAGTGATGTATTGTCGCAGCAACGGTGCAAATAGCTCTCCGCGGTCGCACGATTGCTTCCCAATGTGAACATTGTACGCCAACAAAGCCGAATGCAAAGCTGGCACCTTAATGTCCATTGTTAAAGGTCGGCGAGCTGAGAGCCTGAAGTTCAAGCCGGTGGTCAGAAGGCGTTGCAGACCCATGTCAACCTTGTACACGGAGTCAGACGTGTTGCTGAACTCAGCAACCACCCAGCCAGTGCTACGTTCGCCAGACTTGTCAACAACAGCAACAAATTGCTGCTCTGACAGGTCTTTAAGATCATATTGCAGGTACGAAAAGGGATGTTGATCGGTACTAAAGGGGGTTGTCGACTGGCGTGTGGACTCTGGTAGCGGAATGACGTCTGATGCGGCGTTCTTGCATGCCAGTCGAGTAGCACCAGAGCTGTCACCGGAAAGATCCATATTCATCGAGAAGAGCGCGGCCGACTGCCCTGTCTGGTGTGCGTGGACGCTGCAGAACAAGACCTCGAGCCTGCCGTTCTCACCAGGTGCGTCCAGCTTCTCGTTTGTCAAAAGCGTGAACTGCTTCTGATAGTGATCGTCCTGAGATGGCACAGGAAGCAAGTAGGCTTTTGGCTTCTGCTGTGACTTGCCCAGGCTTCGCAGCACCAACTTCTCCCCCTGTGAGATAACTGCACTGTCTTTTTCCAAAGTGAGGAGAGTTTTCGCCTCTTTGTACGGCAGCGTCTTCTCAGCAATGTCCTCCAAGCCCGTAAGAAACTGTTTCTTGAACCCGCGCATACGTTCGGCACGGGGCACAGTCTGAGTTGCTCTCGAGGCATCGATCACGTCGTACAGCGCGCGCACTACGCTCTTCCTCTCTTGGTCACACCATGTGATGGCTAAGTGGTCCATACCAGTCCATACATGGGGCATCGATGAAGTGAAGACTGTGAAGCCATGAGTTTCTGGGACCAGAGACGCTATGCTAGCATAGTCCGAAGACACTACAGTGTCAAGACCCCCACCGGCGATTGAAATCAGGGTAACGTGCCACAATGGGTTGTCGATCGCCCACTTTTGCGAGTAGGCGTGGCGCCAGTAGTCGTTTACGCCCTTGTAGAGTCGGACAATGTCTCCGTCGAATGACACAGGTGGCCTTGCATGCGGCGCTGCGAGCGTGACTATGGTGTTGATCGAGTTGGACTGGTAATTGGGCATTGTGAGCATAGTCCGAGCTACCATGCCACCCATTGAGTGTCCAAGTATGACGACTGAAGTGGGGTCAGGCAGATTCGTGTCGCGCGCAGAGCGTCCCGGGGTGTGGTATAGAGATAGGATGAATGTGATAGCGTCATTGAGATATTCGGCCTGATCAAGCAATGTCTGACCGTGGAATGCTGTGAAATCCTCGTTGAAGTCGACCGTGAAGAAGTCGAGCGGTCTCTTGCCGGCTCTGTTGGCGACCTCGTCGTGTCTCAGAGCGTTGTGGTAGTGGTATGCTGCCTCAGCTCCAAGCGGCCGCACTTGCTTGTAGCTGCCGGCATTTCCGGGTATGAAGAGGACCGGCACTCCCTTGACCTGCGCCCGATTAGCCTGCACTCTTCACGTTGGTCGCTGACACATACTCTGCTGTCTTCATCAATGCCGCCTTCTCGATACAAGTATAACGAGTACTTGCTAGCAAAACGCGTATGTTCGGTGTCGAAGTCGTCGAACTTGTGGAAAATGGGCCGCATGTACGACATCTCGCAGCCTTTGGTGTCCAACTGGCGCGTCAGGAACGACTGCGTCATAAGAAACAGCGCAGTGAAGCCCAGCACCGTGATGATCAGTGTGTACAGCGAGCATGCCCAGGGATTGCGCAGGCGCAGCCTCCACCCGCTGTTCTGTCCCTCTACCATGCTGTCTGATGTGATATCCTTTGCGGGCGGTGCCGCAGTAGGGCGTGCCTTCTCGCTCGACATGGCGGTGCTGGGTGCGGCGGTTGCGGAGGTGCTGGGTTGACGACGTGTTGTTGCAGGTCGCTGGATTGGCGCACGCCCCTCTTCGCTCCTCCTCTTCGCTTCCTTCCAATGTGGTGCTCCTGGTGCTGTGTCTTCAGACCGCTCGTTCACCACGTTGCCATGGTCCGGGGGTTGTGCGGCCAAAATTTCGGGGGTAGAGACGGTGCGGTCGCGTCCAGCTTTTCGCCCTGATGGCGGAGACTGGCGCATTTAAAGAGGGCGCACAACGTGGTTCCGCGTGGTTCCTGCCGCGAATCGTGACTGCCAGTTCCAGTGCGCAGGCACGTCGCTGTCACGCTCCTCTCTCGATGAGTCGGCGGTAGCTACGGTCGAAATGGAAGCGACAGGCGGAGTCTGAATGGCTACAATGGAGTTCTGGCGTGTGGTGGGTGTGCAAGGACTGCAAACGGGAGCCGGGGAGAAATGTTGAGTGCTAATTGCACCTGGGGCAGTGGGCGACGCAATTGCCAAGCAGCGAATGGAGCCTCAAAGAACGAGCGACAGATCGTCAACAGGGCACGGGGTGGACAGTGTGAAGGCCAGAAGGTGGAGCCACCAAAGCACTGACAGCCTCCAACACGTGCGAGCAGCAAGGACAGAACGAGCGACGATGTTTGTTATTGTGAGATCCGCCGGCCTCATGCAGACTCTTGCCTGGCGCGCGAGGAGCGATGACGACAATTCGACGCCGGGATCCCACAAAATGTCCGGCGGCGCCGCATAGCTCGGCACCATCCAAGACCTCGAAACAATCGGGTCTGGATGCTCAGAGAAAGATGAGCTCTCGAACAGGATTTGCTCACAGCGGCGTGTCTTAGAGCTGCCGGTAGCCGCAGAAACTGTTCACTACTGCACAGCAAGTACTCGAAACGCTCAGCGGCTCGACACCCCACGCCACGATATTGAAACGGACAAAGACGCCTGCAGCCTCGCCCGAGGTTGACAATGCGTTTTGGTGAGGCCAAGATTTTTGCGACGTCACGTTCGACTGAGATCTTAGATGTACTTACTTATTGAGTCAGGGTGAACGTCTGTGGTATCAATTTATTGGTGATAACGCAACTGGGATCGACACTTCGGGATGCACGTTTGATGATCCTTCGCCAACGTGCTCGTCAAACTCCACGCGTGCACGAACATGGAGCAATCCCCTCCGGAATTCGAATTAAACATGTACCTGATTGCGATCTCGACATGCTACATCTGTGAGTGTCGACCATCTTGTTTTGGCAGCATGATCGGTGTCGACTGCACTCTTATCAACGATCGCTGATTGGCTGCAAAGGGGCACGTCCAAAAGCTGCGGCGTGCAGCCTTCACCCGTGCATTGCGCGTCTTTGGGTGAATGACCTTGTTCTGAAGTCAAATTACCGCAACACTCGAAACCTTGCAGACTATACGTCCTTTGATCACGAACAGGTTTAGACCTTACACCAAATACAGGTTAGATGGCTTCGTGCCGCATGCTCACGAAATGGTTCGTTGCGTGTATGCAGTGCGTTCGAACATACCTTTGGCCAACTCTACATTATCGTCTACGTCTAGCCAACATGTAGCGATTCATCTTTGCTTCTTGACAGCCGCCATTTCTATAGTTCGATTTGCACGCTGAGACCGACCGAAAAAGTCTAAACCTGCACCAATGCATAGTACCGGCACATACGCCCATACGTGCAACAGTTCTAACTATGGCCCTTCGTTCCTGGTAGCTATAAAGGGTACTTTGGTATATACTGTGCATTGGATTTGCACACTTGCGCAGTCCTAGCTCGCTCGTCTTTGCGGAGCAGGTTCTACCTATCTTATACAGCATATTATCGCAGACAACTATACCTTTGACTTTTATACTTCACTCTTCGATTCAAAACAAAGAGGAACCTAGGCAAACTGCGACAACATTGCTGCGCAGCGGGGCCTTCTCGGGCGCAAAAAATGGGTCCTGCCGCGACTCGAACGCGGGGCCTCTCGCAAGAAAGCTTAGTTACCCTAAGCGAGAATCACTGGGAGATTTGTTAATACCGCTGACAGGTATGGGGAGAAAACAAATTAACTTACTACCACTAGCTAGATGGGTGTCAGAAACTGGTCGTATTGTGTAGCGGTGGTGATAAACTTACACCACAGGACCTCTAGCTGATCGATGCTACTGATGAACACGGCGCAAATTGAGTATCTTATAACTACTACTTCAGAGTAAGGTGAGACTAAAGATCCTGAATGATCAAATTTTCATTCTCCCGAAAACCATGGAGCTCCAGGACCAAGGCTATTTCAGTAAGTACTGGCCGAGATCGGCGTTGAGTCCTGATGGGCGTGCGGTGAAACCTCAGGACCGCAACGGAATGCCAATCAGTTTTCAACGCCACTCGAGAATAGGGCCAGGCGTAATCTACACCGTAGTATTTCTGCAGAATGTATTACCGCGGCGTTGTCATACACTACTGCAGTCAGCGGAAGACAACATCGTTCGCGACTTTGGATCGGACGCTGCGACAACGCCCTACGAATTCAGACACGCAACGTGTTTCACGAACCAGACCGCAGGCCACGACATGACTACAACCCCCTCCATCCACCGTCAAATTCCGATCAGTAACATTCTCAGAAGTCGCCAAAAATGTAAGCACGCTCTTGCTAGCCTACGAAAAGTTGGTCCTGGAATTTGCAGCTGTGAAACTCGACTTCCAGGTTTTCGAGCACAAAATCGCCAGCCTGCCCGGAAAGTACGCAGCAGAGCAGAACGGCGCTTTGTGGCTAGCAAGTATTAAAGTACCTGCAACTGAACATACACCTGCAAAGGAGAAGATCATAGGCTGCATGAGTCTACGCGCCTTTGCCCCCTCACTCAGCGGCGAGCTCAAGCGCCTGTATCTGACGTAGGAACCGCGAGGGCTGGGAGTGAGTAAGATGCTGATGGACATCTCGATTGCAAAAGCGCGGGAATTGGGGTACAAAGAGTTGCTGCCCGATATACTGGAAAGTACGACGGTAGCGAGGAGGTTGTATGAGAAGCTCGGCTCTGTGGGGACTGAGGCGCATTATGAGAGTGATCTGGATGCGATGCTTTATCGACTGGAGCTTTGAAGGATCATGGAGAACGAGGACTTGAGGAGAATTGCAGGATTGTGCATTTATACACGTCTAGGCCGCCAGTGCTTCCCGATTGCTTCCACGCCACATGCACATTATTGTGCAGCCTCGCACACTTCTAAACCCCACTGGATTCTCCTCGACGCCGACTATGTATCCGAAAATCTCGCGAAAACCTCACTCCAGATCATGCTGGCTCGTACGCTCTCTTTGCGTGCAGTTCCCAGATCCAAGTCAACCAGCTCGCAACTGACTCTACGGCTTTGATGGCCCAGATTCACGGTTAGGGGATGTAGACACCAGTGATTAGCGTGAGAGCCTTCGACGTGTTGCGCGAGCATAAGTCGGCTTCTTCAGGATGTCGGCTGCTCCGACGTCAAGGGCACAGTTGTCAGTTAATTCGAGGGAGGGAAACTTTTGGGACACTAGAACATTGATTAGACGGAGCACTCTCGATGAAGTGATTTATTCAGAAAGACAGAAATTGGAACCTCCATCTGAGTCTATCCGTTCATCCTTGACCTAGTGGGTGTGCTCGTCGCCCTTCGTTTACCAGACTGCAACGCCAACGACCACTCCAAGTACACCTATCCTTACGCCAAGTGGAGTCTGCAACAGCATTGGAACATGCAAGACTGTGCAGAGTCTACACCGAGCCATAATACCATGACGGGCGGACACAGCCCGCGCCTTTCGTGTGGTGGACTCTGCTTTTGCACGCTTGGGATGTCAGCCTAAGCTTATGTACCCAGGCTGCTGTATCGTACATCTTGCACAACACTTTTTATTGCTGATACGTGTTGTTACAGTAGGGTTCGACCTCTCTTTAATCATTGTTTAGTTGTGTGCGCTGAGCGCGCATGACGTGATCTACTTCCCTTCGACTTCACAAACACACTAACGTACTTTACCGGTACAAGCGAGCGACGCGTACAAGCGAGCGACGCGCCCCACCAACTTTGCCTGCCTTCTTGAGCGTATAACTCAACCACGATATATAGTTATATATAGATATTTATATAGCAGATTAAGAAGTATCTATAGAGTCCTTTTTGCACGTACGTGAGTTGTGGCCAGTCTCTCTGCACCTCGTGCAGCGCG